GAGAGAGAGAGAGAGAGAGAGAGAGAGAGAGAGAGAGAGAGAGAGAGAGAGACGTTGGGGGGGTTTGGCGGGTGTCGTGGAGGGGTGTTGAGGGCTATAGGAGAGGGATATCGAGGGGTGTAGGTAGGGGTGTAAAGGGGTCACGGGTGTGTGTGTTTTTCTTTGGTCGTTTCGGATCAGGGGGGCTCAGGCCTCGTCATCTGCAACCCCCCATCGCCCGCACGTTTTTCAAAAGCGGGTTGGACCGTTGGAGTGGGGGGGACACGGGTAGAACGGGGTTAGAGCTGGGGGAGGGGGTGGTAGAGCGGCGCTCTAACGGCGCCCTACCCCGCTCTACCCGTTCTTCCCGGCTTCCTAGCAGAACATACTCAAAAAAAAAAAAAAAAGTAAGAAGGAATACATACAGACAACTGATTGTGTGTTATGAATTTTCACCCCCCTTCTCCACTACTTCCACCCAGATGAGTAGATCCAAAATCACAACAACTCATATTACCTCTATTGCAGACGATGACGCATGCTTAAGATGAGCCAAGCCACCAATGAAACAGTTTTGCCTCTATCTCTATAGTCAGCAACTGTTTGTGAGACTCAGTTGTATGTGTACGTGTTTAAGATTTTCACCACAACACCCCCCTAGTCCACCCAGATCAGAGTAGTAGAGTAAATCCAAAATCAAATTGAAAGCAGCTTAAATTTGCCACTTTTGCAGACAATTTATTAAAAGCAGAGTCCATTGTCAAACATTGTCAATTCATTAGTGATACCCGCATAGCAAGCAAGGTGGGGCACAACCAATCCATTACATCCCTTTCTTAAGGATCTTTTCTTTGGCTTTCTTGGGGTACCCCTTGCCCTAACACGTCCAGGCAATTATCCCACCAGCATCTCTTTTTCTTTTTTTCTTTTTTTCTTTTTTTTTTGATGGGAACAAAGCTCCAATCTATTCTTGGGGAGCAACACGTGATCTCACGTTCACGAGTATTCCGTTCAGCTGCGTATCAGAGAGACACGGGGCCTCGCTGCACTACTCTTGAAATGTGCAAGACGAGAGTGCATCTTCCACTAGCTTATGGAAAGATACACCGCCATGATTTTTGTCTTTAAATTTGTGCATGTCGAGAGTAGTGCAACGAGGGCCCACGGACGGGGTTCGACCAAGGGCTGGCTATTCCCAGTGATCCCCTTTCACGACGAGCTTGAGTCTTCGCAGCGAGTTCTTCTCTACGAGCATCTTCAACGGCATTGAATAAGTCGTGTCCGTCTCGTTGCGGTTTGTTCTTGCAGGTCCCGTTTAAATTTACTATGCCTCTCTGGCCATGTTGATTGTGGTTTCGCGCCACACCGCCAACTGCCCACATCCCCGGGTGCCTTAGTAGCCCACTTGCAGATTAAAAAAGGGGGCCGAGTACAGAGGGAGGTATTAGGTAATACTACTCCTGTTCATGTTTCTTCAAATGTTCAGGGAGAGGAGTAGACGATGGAAATTATGTCATGTCCTCGATTAATTTGCAACTCAATCCCACACTCAAAAGTCCCCATACACGTCCAGTGACGTCTGCAATGACAGCGGGCAGACTGGAGAGGGCAGATTCACAATTTCACACCAAAACCAGGGAGAGATATTGCACAGCCGAAGCCAAAACCAAAATGAAAATTGATAGAAATTTGTCTTCAATCAATTATTTATTCCTCCGCCTTCTCTCCTCCATCTCAATCGAAAAACCCCTCACGAATATCAACCACAAAAAAAAAGTTCCACCCCCAATGAACTCGCAACGAGCCTTCAGCGAACATTCAGTGAGACTTCCACTTCCCCTTCCTCTTCCCCTTCCTCCTTCAATCCACAACACTCACGGTGACAGCACATCATCTAGTAAGTCGCGTAGCGTCCAATCATCATGCCATGAGCCTCTGCGAATCCTGGCGCTGATCAGTGATCCAGCATGTGCCCGATGTCCAATCAGCAGCGCATGTCAACCACCCTTCAGGCTGAAGAAGAAGATGAACTTCAATGATTCAGAATAAGATGCTGGCTGCCTTCCATATGGCAGCAGACATTTGACGAGCAGCTTGATGAACAGCGGTTCCCTCAGACCCCACAAGTTCCACAGCACAGCGGCACGATGGTGGTAATCTACAGCGGCAGGCAAGCCCTTGGCCTGTGCTGTCTTCCTCTGGCCATGCAGCTCCAGCTATGGCCGCTTGAAGGCTGACGAAGATGAAGAAGCCAAGCGCTAATTTCAGCGTTGCTGCCCTTGTTCCCACCAGCACTTCAAAAAAAAGAGAACGAAACCAGTCCGGCCCATCCTACTTCAACCCGACTACCTACCGGTAGCCCCACGACACATCAACTACCTACTGACTTATCTGACCGTCCAAACAGCAAACGCCTAGCACGGCCTATCAGCCCACATGCATCTACTAGACAGGATCACAAACCAATGGGACCCAAGACTCGGACACACAAACGAAAGACCTCCGGGCCTACTGTTTCTGGAGAGGCAGAAATGACAAAACAACCTTCCCTAACGGTCTAGGGCATGACGAAAGAGGAGTTCCAGCAAGTGACAGGTCTTAGGATCAGGCCCCGGACGACTGAAAAACCAGAAAAACACCCTATGTAAACTACAGCCCGCACAGCTGTTTCCCTTTCATTTTCATGTACTATACAAACTCTGACGCCACAATTCGTGCCGGCACATGGACTAAAAAGTTGAAGGCGGTCCCAAATTTTCTTGGTAGTGTGTGCGTGTGTGTACGTGTGTGTGTGTGCGTGTGCGGGTGTGTGTGTGTGTGTGTGTGTGTGTGTGTGTGTGTGTGTG